ATGTAGGCACAACTATGGATTATGATCCACTCCCCACACTCCTCTTCTAGTGTGGTCATAAAAAGTGGTGTTGAGATTATCGTCTGTTACGAATATAGTAATGCTGGCTGCTAGAACTGGAAGTGATTAAAAAAAAGTAAAACTGCTATAATTAGAACAGATCAAATAAAGAAATCATATATATATATTTATATAAATAAAGTTCATGTCAACTGATACTTTTTTTGAGCTATATTCTTTAGTGTTCTTCAACAGAAAAATTGAATAGTCAAAACAGAGTTATAGAAATAGTTTGCTTTCTTTGTGAAGAGTAGTTAGGTGTTGGTGGCTCACACCTGTAATCCTAGCTACTCAGAAGACAGAGATCAGGAGGATAGTCAAAGCCAGCCTGGGCAAATAGTTTGTGAGACCCTATCTAAAAAGCCCTATCACAAAAATTGGGCTGGTGGAGTGGCTCAAGGTGAAGGCCCTGAGTTAAACACCCAGTACCACTAAAAAAAAAAAAAAAATTCTAACATAACCAATTTTATTGTTGATAAAAGTGAAATAGATGAAGAAAAAAGTATAATTTTAAAGATACAGTAACCTTGCCTTATTCACAGATTTGCTACACAAGGTTTTAACCAAGTAGGATCAAAAATTTTTTTTAAATCAAAAGAAGTTCACAAACAAAATTTTCAAATTCTCACACCTGCATTATTCAGCTCAACTGACATGGAGAAGCTCTCAGAAAGTCCGTATTATCATCAGTTGTGTTTAAATCATTTGTGAGATCTGCTGAGTGTTTACCTGTCCTTAATTTTGTGAGAACATGCCTTCCTAAAATCATACAAATGTCCAAAATGCTGGGGTAAAAGTTATGGTAATCCTTCCAAGCCCAAACGGGCATATAATGTGCTTAATTTAAGAATAAAGTGAACATTTTTAGATGTGTCGAAAGGCAGCATGTCTTTAGTGGAAGATGAGTGACATAATAGGAAAAACAAATTAAGAATCCACAGTACAGTACTGAACTCTGCATCCTGACCATTTGTGGGTTTTCCTCAACAGCTGTCTCCTTGGAACCATATTCCTATAGATACCAAGGGTATATTGTAAAATGATCAATGGTGGTAACACAAACCAACTGGTTAGGGTCCTCCTCTACTGGATAGAAATAGTATGTAGGCAAGGTGAAGTTCCTCCAGTTATTTCAGGCCCTTGACAGGTTTTTGAAAACAGTGGCAATGGATTTATAGCAATAGCAGGTCACCCTTCAGCATTGTAGCTTCTGTGCCCAGTGGGCAGGTGGTGGCCTTTGCTTGAATTCCACATCTCAAGGTTGGAGCCTAGCCAATCTATAGCCTGAGGCCAGAGCATGTTACAGTTCTCACTTTAGTTTGAGTCCAAAGCTTTTGACAGCCTGCTCCAGCTGTCAGGTACAAGGCTGCTCCTGTGACCTTGGGAACTGCTTGTTGTTAGCTCTACTGCTATTCTAGCTGCCCTGCCCTTGCTACTGCCTCTGCACCGCCCTACTAATGAATGACAAGAATCAAAAAAAGGTAAAACAGCTCACTCAAGAAAAGTCTATTGGACCTGCTATTGTGAAAACAGGGAGCAGCAACACAGGAAGGTGTCTCTCTGCTGTCATAAAGTAAACTGAGCAACCTGCTTATATGGCTGGAAAGGAGTTGTGACAAGAAGTCTGTAATAATCCTGGCACAGTCCCTATCAGCAGTCATGGTGGCGCTTTATGTTAAAGAAGGACTGTGTTTACACCAGTCATGGGTCTTCTACTGAGCCACCAGGCAAAGGAAGCACTCCCCTTCTTGGTTGGGTGGAAGTAGCCGCAGGGTCTCCTAGAGTTCACTGAGTCTGGTGGTGGCAAAAGTCCAGCCCAAGCTGATTGCTGGGGTAATGCCTTCTGGAGCCAAAGTCATGTTTTGGGCTCAGAGTGTCCAGTGCTGGCAGGAGGGTAGTCCAGCTGGTTGGCTGACAGTCCTTCACTCAAGGCAGCATGCGTGTGCAGTGGGGAGGCTGGGGAAGGATCTAACAGCTGTCTATTAGGGAATTAAATCTCCCAAGCCCCCAACATCTCAGCAAATGCAAAGGAAAAACAAAGTTTCAAAAGGGTGTTTGCAACAAAATGTTATCAGTAATAGTGCTTTAACAGTATTTAACAGTGTCCTAAGAATACTTAACTCCTGCCCCGGTGTCCCAGGGAAAGGTGGGTCTCTGCCATCAGCTTGGATCCATGACCCCAAACACATTAGTAAGGAGCTTGCTTATTACATTAAGTTGCTTCTCTGTTTATATCCAGAACAAAATGACCTGAAAATAAGTTTCTCCTATGAAAACAGCTTCTCAAAGTCATTCTCCAGTTATGCTCAATAACCTCTTCTAAAAATTTTGTGGTAAAAATGTGAAGCACCCCAGATACAGAGACTTATATAATGAATCCTCAGATTTAACCATCAGCTTCATTTTATCAGCCTGTTTCATCCTCCCAATCCCAGACACTACCTCTAAGTACTTTATGAGTGATTTCTAATTACATAAAATTTAAAATAATTGCATAATTATACATATTTATGTAAATTATAAATTAAAATAATTACATAAAAATAAAAAAGTTTAAATACATGTAAACAACCATTGGTGGGAAAACTTTCAAAGCTACTATAAAGAGTTTGTTATTTTTCTTATATATTCTTGTTGACTATAAATAACAATAATGTTATTAAAGGCAATGGGAATACCAGAAGTTATTTTCTAGAATTATTTTCTATTCTGGGCACCTCCTCTGGGTGGTCTATACTTGCTTTAATTCCTGTCTCTCAATGATAATTGAAGTGAACCTCTGAGCTCAACACCTTATCCCTGAAATTTTGAAAGGTGGAATTCTTTAACCAATCAACTCTTTAATAAGTGAGCAAAAGTGTTTTGAGTGGATACGAGAATTGGGCAGTGAAGTAGAACAGGCAGAACAGAAAATACTTGAGATAGAAAAAAGCCAGAGGACAATTCACGTGGCTCTCCCTGAAAGGGAAAAGCGAGCCCAAAGTTAAGAGTCAATTCATTCCCAAATATTTGCCCCTTAAATGATATAGAAGTGAAGCTACTGATAAACTCTGTAATCACTGACTTAGAACTTGTGGTCCATAATTACAAGTCTCAGTTGGTTTCTGAGAATCAGTATTACAAGTACTGATCAAACATACTTTTTCTCTAACCTTGCTTCAACAGTGTTTCAAAAACTGATGCAATTAATCATTTCACAAAACAGCTGGTATCATTTAATTAGCCTTCACAAAACATTTCATTCTTCTTGAACATTCTTCTTTAATCTTTCATTACTGCTAGAATGCTAAAAAGTTCCCTTTCAAAATTATTTATTTAATAAAAATTTTTATTATATATCGCTTCTTTTCTAGGTCATAAAATAGATGTTTTCGTGGTAGCTTTTGATCTTTCTGGGAGGCCTAATTTACTTGATAAATTCTCAACTTGACAATGGAGTTTAGGCTTCAGTTATACTGGGTAAAGCTTTGAAATGGGGTTTTCTCTCTTTATAACTTACCTGAAAATGTTCCTCTTTGTGCAGCCAAACAGAGGAGAAAGAGAGAATTAATAGTGCCAAATAAAGTAACTCAGCTAGAAAGTTTTTGTTTGTTTTCTTTCTTTTTTTTAATTATGCTCTTTCTTTGTAAGGATGGTTTTTACCTCACAAGGGAAGTCAGAATAACCACCCTCAGTAATCAGGCCCTGTTGGCCCAGCATTGAGCTAAGTAAATAAGAATGCAAGTCTATTCCTTGTTCAGAAGCTGGCAGCAAATTTGCTAAGTGATTGATTTGAATCTAATTTTCTGCATGGACTGAGAAGTCCTTCAGGGCCTGTCCTACGGGAGGAAAATAAATCCAGCCAAGTTGACTAAGCCCTATTTTAGGTTTTATTTTGAGTTCCAAAAGTTTAGAAACGTCCCTTTCCCAGAAAAACTGTATCTCCAAGGGATTCTCGCTTGTGATGTTCCAGAGAATGCAACTTGATCTGAAAAGATGGCAGAAATTCCCTACGTCCAACTCCCAGAACATTCTGAGGATAGAATTTAAACTACCATACCCATGGTGGTGCTGTTCTTTTGCTCACTCTAGCACCCTATCTCTTTACTTCTGTGCTCCATGTTGGAGGAGATCCACACTGAGAGCACTGGCTGTGTATCTGCCCCAATCTTAACAGCATTGTTAAACGTCTTTCTGTTACTACAACAAATACCTGAGATGATCTACTTAGAATGGCAAAAGGCTTATCTTGGCTCAGTTTTGGTGGTTTCAGTCTATGATCAATCAGTCTTCTGGTTGGGTAATGAAGGGTAGCACACCAAGGCAGAAGCATGAAAGGCACAGCAAATCCATTCATCTCATGACCAAAAGGTGAAAAATAGAGAGGAAAAAGGGAGGCCCAGGTCCCAATATCCAATTCAAGGGTACAAACCCTGAGTGGGAACTCCCACTAAGCACCACCTCTTAGTTTCTACCATCTCCCAATAGCATCAAGCTAGGGACACATGGGCCCCTGAGGGACATTTACTCTCCAAACTATAGCAGGCTAATAAGTGGTTTGATTCCATTAGAACTATTCTGTTAGTCTTAATATATATCCATGAATTCAGGGGAAATATGGAGATGCTTCATTTTAATATACAACTCATGGAAAGATAGGTGGAAACAAAGGGAGAATTGTGCCACATAAAACTGTGTTGCCGAATGGCAACATGGCAGAAAGAGCACTTTACTGAAGGCCATCGGTCTTGAGCCAGAAATTCTGTCTCCACCGCCTTTGGGGAAGTTGTTTCTCCTCTCTAGGCCATTGTGAGGTGAAAGACTTCAATTCATGCAAATTTCTCTTAATAAAAGGTAGCTTTGTTTAGAGGTCATTCAAAGCTCTCATTCTTTCAAAATTAAATTATTTACTTGAAATCTCTCATTATAGACTAATTTTTTTCAATATTTATCATCCAGGACCCCAAATTACGTGAACTTCTGGATGTGGGAAACATTGGGCGTCTGGAGCATCGCATGATAACAGTGGTGTATGGGCCTGACCTGGTGAACATTTCCCATTTGAATCTTGTGGCTTTCCAAGAAGAAGTGGCCAAGGTATGGCAGATGGAGATACCTAAAGCTGTTGCCTCTTTCTGAATTCTTGTGATATTGTATGAATACTTGTGAAAAATTTTGAACTTGCGTCATATTTAACTTGTGTTAAAATTCCATCTAAAAATAATTCAGCTGCTAAATGTAATTTGAACACTTCTAAATAATAGCTTCTACTTTGAATTATGGAGATTTGTTTTCCTTAGGAATAAGTCCTTTGAAAAACACCTAAACATCTTATTCTAAGGCATTTTCTACACAACTTCCAACTCCATATCCATTTCTTTTTTTTTTAATTTTTATTATCATGATTGTTGTACTAGGAATACATTATGACATTCACAAAGATGTTTACAATATATCTTCACCCACTCCAACCTTTACCTCTCTCTCCCCCATTCTTAGAGTAGGGTCTCATTTTTCCATTTTAATACATGAATACATAATATTTCCACCACTTCATCACCCATTTTGTTTATTTTTGGGGATAGGGTCTCACTGTATAACCCAGGCTAGACTTGAACTCGTGGTCTGCCTCAGCTGCCTGAGTGCTGTGATTATAGGCATGGACTACCACACCCAACTCTTCAACACCTTTTAACTTCTCTTTCACTACACAGCCTATAGGCCACCACCATTCATCTAGTAGTTAATTAATATGTAAAAGAATAAAAAGTAAAAATTTAAATAAATATTTATAAATAATATTTATTCAGCTTTGAACTAGAAAGATGTATTGAAGGTGGCCTCTCCACTAAGGATTGCTATTCTGCTAAGATAATGGACCTTTTAGATGCATTCATAAATAACTGCAGTACAAGTACACTATAGCACACAGGAAGCTGTGAACATCTAGGATCCCTGGACTCAAGTATCATGCTTCCTCTAGAAATGTCCAATTAGCAATTTAAAAATATTGAAATGAGCATTTTTAAAGAAAAGCCTTCTTTTTCTATGTTTCTGCTCTTCATACCATTTCCTTCAGGAGTTACGAATATGAATCTAAGAATACTTTAAAGCTTTGCATATCATATATATGCCTTTTTAAAGCATCTCATGTCATACATTATAATTACAAGGTTACTCCAGGTCAGTATACATTGTCTGGGCATTGTGATCTGTAATTTTCTAATTCTCAGTGCCCTGACGATTTTATAAGGTACAATGAATGTATTAGCCTGACCTCTACTTTGTTAGTGATTTCTGACAGGGATTTATTTCCAACATTTACATAACCCTGACTTCGATTCTTACAATAGAATGAATAAAATGCCAACCAGTTTTAATACTGTAAGGCATTTAGAAACTACTCTCTCCAAGTGTGTTAAAACCTAATCTATTTTCTCCCTTTAATAAGCAAGCTACCCATTTGCTTCTACAGTGTAATGCACAATTGGAGAGATTTCAGTGCACTTCGGCTTTGTGTGACAGCATTGCATTTGTCCTGCAATCGTTCTAAGTCTAGTTTCCTACTGTCAATTTGCTACATTGTATATACCTCATTTCTCAGTACATGGCTGTGAAGTTGAATGGATGGATGAATATAACCAAACAAATGCTAAACATTTACAAAATATTTTTAAATTACTTTCCTCAAACACAACCATATTCCCCTTTAAAAACAACACATTCATGAGATTAAATTTAAGACATTCAATAAATGACAGTCATTTTCAGGGCAGTTTTTAACTAATAGCATATATAGATCTTATGTTGCGTACAAACCTGCATATCTTAAACTGTGTTAAACTTATATGCAGCTGTGTTTAAAATATATTCAATTCTCTGCTCTCAGTGCTTCCTACCCACTAATTTTGTATAGGGATTTTTATTTCAGAGCCCTGCAATATTCCCCATCAGGGCTATATCTATAATGATTTTTCCAGCAGCTACTTGGTATTCCTGTATAATTAATGAAACTACAGAGAATATTTTACCTTCTCTGACTGTAATATGCTGTAGGGTATTTTCCCCCCATTGAAATAGCCCAGCCAAAAGGCTAAAATTCACAAATGTCATTTTACATTTAAAACTTATTATTCACACTTTTAATTGTTAGTATTATATCAGAGCATTCTATTTATTCTCTAGAGCCAATGTATGATACCATATTTAATGCTTAATCCAAAGATGACTTCTGTCATGTAGAATACCCAACAGAAACCTGAGCATCTTTAAAAGTTAAATATATCCAGAGAGACTGTTGAAAAATGGATTCCAACTCATTCATTCACTCAACACATTTGTTGGGTGGGTGCCTCCCCTGTGCCAGCCACAATTCCAGATATACAGATATCAGTAGTTAAACAAAGCCATTGTCTCTGAGAGAGAAAATAAACCAGATAACCATGAGTAAGCTGTGAATGTATCATATCTCTGATGGAGATCTGTATGGAAGAATAAAGCATTAGGACAGGGAGCATAAGGGCAGGAAAAGGGAATTACTGGGTATAGGCTGGTTAGAGAAGACGTAAATCTGAAGGAAGCTGCTCAGTTGCAACACTACCATAGATTTCTGAGAAATCTCTTAGATCAGTTAGAAATTTAAACTAGAACTAACACTTAAACTTTCTGAAAGGTAGTTCACATGCATGTTTTTTCTTAAATCACTTGAATATTTTATGTATTCTTTAAGGCAAGTGAATCCTGAGAGACAGTCATGGGAAGAAACAATCTTTCAACCACTCCCTCTGTTGCCAGACTAAGAATGTGGTATCTTTTGCAATTAAATAACAATGATACTTTTGTTACCCATCATGACTTGCCAGCCCTTCCTTATGTCTAACAACCACATCTCTCCAGAGGTGTCTCTCCTGAATGTATCTTGGAAATAGGTGGCTTGTTTCATATTGCTCTCTAAATCATACAATCCTCCCTGCATCCCCTGCTCCCCTGCAGACAAATGGGCATTTGTCTTTGCTCTAACTTGGAACTTCCAGACTACAGTTCACTTCTCTGGAATTGTCTGACTTCTCTGCAAAGCTGTAGGGGAGGTAGTAAATGTCACTGACCCCTTTACCCTCCTATCCTTGACTTACAACCATTCTCTACTTACAGTTACATGATTTATGGTAAAGTTGGAGGTATCAGCAATGGAAATTTCTTCATGGTCTGAGGAAAAACAAGAGGTAAAACTTGGACAAGACATCCTTGAGGGGACACACTAGTTGCTGAACTTCTTCCCAATTCTCTTCATGACTGGGTCTTCCTTGAAAATTCCCACAATGCCATTCACTAACCTTATTTAGAGGAGTGTTCCTCCTTACCATGGTTACTTCCTCTTGGTTTCAGCTCTCTCTAGTCCAGCACAGAACCTGGACCTGTACCCGGACCCAAGCACAACTCTTACACCTCACTTGTACATATTCAACACAGACTCTGACGCTCTGATTTTTTCCATTGGTCTGGAAGAGCCTTTAGCTCTCCGAGTCTTGATCCAGGCTTCCTTGAGAGTCCCTTCCACTGAGGAGGTACTGATGTACTTTTTAATCCCTGGTCATCCATCACTTAACTCCTGGAATAGCACAAGGCCCAAGGACAATCACTGATTCTCAAGATTTGTAGGCGTAAGTGTCTGCAAAAGCTGAGCAGGGATATTAATAACTACATTGCAAAAAGGTAGACAGAGAGGATTTGGAGCAATTGTAGCAACCTGAAAATCTAAATGGACCATTCTAATCAGTGTAACTGCTCTTGGGCTCCTACCAATTGTCTTGGAGATGTGTGTATATAACGTCAGCATGTATCAGAAGCACCTGAGTGGCTTTCTCTGCTGGGCTTCAGCCCCAACAATTCTGGGATGGAGCTATGGGGCATTTGTATCTATAACAATTTCCCAGTTGAAATAATGCTGCCAGAACAGTTACTACTCTTTGAGGCTCTCTTCCTTAGAGAAGTATGGGCTCAGTGTTGTCAGATTTTTGGGTTTTGTTCCCAATCCAGCTTAACTATTAGCAATGTTATTTTCATTCATCATGAGAGCCAAATAAAACATAACTATGGACTGGATAAGGCTTATGGACTTTATTTCACAGCATTTTAGTACAGATTCATATTCAGGAAGAAAAATAATGTACTAAATAAAACTATACTAAAAACTATACTAAATAAAACCTTAGGTCCTGACCACTGAGCACAATTGGGAAAGCATGTAATATTATTTTGCAGAGCAGAATTGGCTTTCCCCAGCACACTTGTACATTCTCTAACTTACAAAACATTCCTAAGAAATATGGCCTGTAAGCATGACAATTTTTCAAGAAATACAAAGTCATCTGCTCCCTTAATGGCCATTGTGGACATTTTTTCAACAGTTTTATAACAGCCACTTATTTGTGCCTCAGATTGGATCATATTCGAAACCGGAGAACCTCCATAAGCTACAAATGGAAAGGAGACAAAATAGTATGAAAGAACATCTTTTGGATCCCTCTAGTCTCTATTTCTAGGCATATAACTTGAAATTTAAAAAGTAAGGGAGACAAATATCATGACTTAAGTAGGCCAAATTTAAAAGTCAGGAAGAGTACAAACACTACACAGTGTTCTACATGCTCACCTTTCAACATTCAGCCCATTAATTAAACAAATGCAAACCAAACAATTGGGAAATTGCTGCTGGAGGAGACAAATATGGGCTGTTATGTTGCTAGAGAAAATAGGACTGTTGCAAATGAAAGCTCATTTCCTATTGCAAGGCCACAATTTTGGCTTACTGTAGGAAGGACCTAAGCAGGGGAAGGAACTCATATGGGTAATGATTCCTGAGATTGAGGCCCCAGAAAGGATCACCATAAAGGGAAGAGCACACTGGAGAATGAGTCTATGAATTAGACATCTCAGTTACACTCTCCTGCCAAATGGACATGAGTCTTCAAGCCCCTCAACAGTTTGGGTGTATTCTTTAGCCATAAACTGAAAAGCTTGGATTCATTTACTCCTTGATTTATTCACAAAACTCCAGTAAGCTCTCCACAATGTTCCAATCTCTGCTCTAGATGCTG